GTGTGAGTGTGTGTGTGTGTGTGTGTGAGTGTGTGTATGTGTGTGTGTGAGTGTGTGTATGCGTGAGTGTGTGTGTGTATTTGTGAGTGTGTGTGCGTGTGAGTGTGTGTGTGTGAGTGTGAGTGTGTGTGTGTGTGTGTGTGAATGAGTGTGTGTGTGTGTATATGAGTGTGTGTGTGTGAGTGTGTGTGTGTGTGTGTGTATGAGTGTGTGCGTGTGTGAGTGTGAATGAGTGTGTGTGTGAGTGTGTGTGAGTATGAGTGAGTGTGTAAGTTTGCGTGTGAGTGTGTGTGTGTGAGTATGAGGGAGTGTGTAAGTGTGTGTGCGTGTGTGTGTGTGAGTGTGTGTGTATGAGTGAGTGTGTAAGTGTGTGTGTGTGTGTGTGTGTGAGAGTGTGTGAGTGAGTGTGTGAGTGAGTGAGTGAGTGAGTAAGTGTGTGTGAGTGTGTGTGTGACGGCAGACAGGAACGTCTGTCTCTCTCTCATCTCATGCATATCAAAGAACTCAAAAGCCAAACCGATCTTGTTTTCATGTTTCACCCCAAAATCAACAAGAAATAAATCATTCTAATATTTTACATTTAAACCATGAAGATGTTTTACACTGTGGCACATTTACATGAAACTCTAGTTACTGTAGTGCACAGAAATCCCATTCTCATCACTGTCATGTCATGTTCATTTAAATCAGCATCAGTTAAAGTCAGTCGCATGATATAATATAAATACTGTACATGGTACAATAAGAACTGAAGGTGAAAGTGCTTCTGTTTCAATAATGCAAAACATTTCTTAAGACTTCATCAAAAAAAAAAATCATTTATTTCAAAATAATATATTTTCAATAATTAGAATTGAACTTAATTTCAAAATATAAAATTATTATATAAAAATATTATTAAAATTATAAAATATCTTTAAAAATATAATGTATATAAATATATTTTATATAATAAGGAAAATATTTTTTTATTTGATTTTAGGGGGAAGCATGACCTGCACAGGTTTATCGAGATTCACACAGCTATAATAATAAACGACCTGGAGTGTTAAAATCGTTTAATGCACAACTAGCCGTGCATTATCCCGCTTATACCATGCTCATTTGCCAGCACTGACAAGTTAAAGCTGTTTATGTTTTACAGCGCAATATTTGACCGGAAGGGTAAAAACGATGGTTATTTTCATCAGTTCTAGCATTCTGCCCGCTTCAAATCAGACACACAGATGAAATAGCGCAGTTAGATCACATTTATTTGAATTGATTATTGATCGCGAGAGAAACAGAGAGAGATGACACTTGTGTGTGTGAGTTACACGCGTCTGTGTGTCTCTCTCTACAAACAATGAAGCTGTAAATTTAGTTACTTCAAAAAACTGTGATTTTACCTCCTCGTTGCTGAGGAATATAATCTAGGCTACTTTATTAATAAAAGAGGCGTGGCAGCGGTGACAGCAAGTTTCTGTGCTCCTGAATGTTTCAGTGTGTGCAGTGCAATCTCTGATCTCTCTCGCTCTCTCTCTCTCTCTCTCTCTGTGTGTATGTGTGTGCATACGTCAATGAAAGCAGTGCATTAATACAGAACGGTGATTAAACTGACTTGGAACTACTTGTGCATTAAACGGTTTTAATGCATACCTGCCAGCCAATCAGAATCAAGTATTCAGACAGACCATGGTAGAAGAATTAATAATGCATGTTATCGCATGTTAAATGTGAGTCGTGTGACCGTGAGGCCAGTGATCAGAGAGTTATGAAGCGCCATGAGCTGCTGATGCAGACACGCACTCGTGCCGTGTGAAGAGCGTGTCAGATCCCACACGCGTGTCACTCACTCTCTCTGAGGTAGTGCAGGTGAGACAGCAGGATGTCAGCCGTGTAGCTGCTGGTCAGACGCTGGACGTCGTCTTTGCTCATCTTGCAGAGCTCCTTCCCGTCGATGCTGTGGAAGAGAGACAGGTCCACCTCGGGAAGCCCGTACTCCTTTACGGCCCATTCCAGCCACTGACGCACGTGATCCGCCGACCACAGGCTCGGATCTGCAGCACCAACCGCAGCGCAGGTTACGCACTTTCATTTGAATGAATTAGCCATAAACATTGTTTTTCTCCCAAATGCATGTCTCCAAGCAACACACTGTTTATATATATCTACTGTATATATGCCAGGTTGTCAAACCAATGAAAAATATGAATTGCTTTTGTTGCTTGCTTTAGATAAAAGCTTCTACTAAATGCATAAATGCAAATATAATTCAACATCGTCTTACTGCAAAGCATGGACGAATGAAGCACCTTTTTTTGTGAATTCTTTGTAATGCAGTAATTCCTCTTCCTGTCATTTTAATTCTTATTCCAGTTCAACGTCCTGTCAGACTGAACTTTACTCATAAATCTACTACTGGTTGACACAGATCCAAAGCAGAACTTATGAACTAGTGGTCTAGCAGTAGCTTTGAATCTGCGTGTCGGATCATTATAAGCACACGCATGTCCTGCTGCACATTCTTGCGCTGCGTGTCTATTGTCTCACCGCACGAGCGGGAAAAACAGGATGTTGTTAGTGAGCATCACCGACAAGCAGGAAGTTACACAGAATCTCTGACTCAAGCCATGAAGCACAGGCGCAGCTGTCTGTCGTCATCAGTGCTGTGACATAAAAATAACTCAATCACAAAAACACCAGTCTTTAGACAAGCGTGTGGCACCTGCAGGGACGATCACTCTGCGCTCACTGGTGGTAATGTTGGGCGGTGCGTGCTTGTCCTCCATAAAGCTGCTGTACATCCCTGGAGAGATCTTACCCTTCACCGCAGCACACACATCAGGAGAGGCTCTGCACACACACACACACACACACACACACACACATACTCACACAGACAATACTCCATATCTCTCTCGCTCGCACACACGCACGCACATAAATGCTAATGCATTCATATTCTCCAGAACGCGTAACAACGGACAGCAGAGAGTCCAGAAGGGGTGAAAGACAGGTGACCGGCGCTGTATTTATCTGTACGTGCGTCTGTTGAATTCAGAAGTGGACGTCAAAAGGAACTCTACACCGATAACACACTCAATGAATCTGTTCAGTGTGGCAGACGATTCCAGCCTCTCCAAATGTAATCATGCATGTTTATTCAGGAACTCTATATCTAAAATTGCTAGGTATTAAAAAATGTAAATGTCTTACACACACAGACACAGACACACACACACACACACTCACACAGAGACACACGATTCAGATGTGCATCTCCTGAAGGAAATATCAGTATTTATAAGAAGAACAATCTGAACTCAGAATGCAAATATCTTGTCAACGAGAGATTCTCAAACTTTAATGCAAATATAAACTATCATTCAAAAGTTCTGGGGTAAGATGTTTCTAATAAATAAATACTTTTATTAATCAAGGATGCATTAAACTGATCAAAAGTGACAGTAAAGACATTTATAATGTGACAAAGATTTCTATTTCAGATAAATGCTGTTCTTTTGAACTTTCTATTCATCTGTGGGTCCTGAAAAATAAAATGTATCAGTTTCCACAGAAATATTATGCAGCACGACTGTTTTCAACATTGATAATAATCAGAAATGTTTCTTGAGCAGCAAATCAGCATATTAGAATGATTTCTGAAGATCATGTGACACTGAAGACTGGAGTAATGATGCTGAAAATACAGCTGCGCATCACAGAAATACATTACAGTTGAACAGATATTCACATAGAAAACAGCTGTTTAAATTATAATAATATTTCACTATTTTACTGTATTTTTGATCAAATAAATGCAGCCTTGCTGAGCAGAAGAGACTTCTTCAAACACATCTTACTTAGCCTCTGTGACACTGTTCAGCCTGAATGAACTGAATTAACTAAAACAAAAACAGAAAGTGCATGTCCGAGGAGCATCAGCGGATGCCAGTGAGCGCTTCTTCACTCATCGCGAGGACACAGATGTGAGGGATTCTGCTGGAATGTGCCGGCAAACTCCACATCAACAGCCCAGAGGCTTCAGCTCATGTGTCGACCAACTGTTGGGCTCGTGGAGACGGAAAGTTTCTGAACTCACACGCATCCATAAAACACGGCCAGCGCTGCTGATGCAGGAGCGACAACGCCAGATCTGCTGCTGGACGGAGCTGAAAAACTCTCTACAACAGTCTGACGCTCTGATCAGCCGCAAAATCACCGATTCCTGCAGCTGCTGTTTGTTTTACATCCAGCCAGGGTTATTATCACTTATGAAAACATAAAAAACGTACTAAAACATTAAAAAAAATTACTAAACCATAAAAATTATTTTTGCTACTTTAAATTAAACAAATATAAAACACTTAAACTAAAAAAAAAAAAAATACTAAAACTATAAAAAAAAATATTGCAGATAGTTGCCATGGCAATATTTCTCATTTTCATTTAGATGAACTTAATGTATTAAAATGACTAAAACTAAAACTGAAATAAAATTAATAAACGCTACACATTATTGATGGCCGCTTTCGAAACACTGCTTCATGAAGCTTCGAAACCTTTGCGAATCAAATTTTCTTTTCGAAACAGTGGTTCGGAGCGCGTATCAAAATGCCAAAGTCACGTGATTTCAGTCAACGAGGCTTCGTTACATCATAACTGTTTCGAAACGTTTCGAAATTTCAATAGTTCGCCATAGGGGGGCGATCTCTGTGAACCCGTGAATCATGCGAGTCTACTGAGATCGCCCCGCAGCGGCGAACCACTGCATCAGCGTCTACGGTTATACGATCTCGGATCAGTTTGATCAATTTGTAGACATTTTTAATGAGACATTTGTGTAATTACAAGGATGAGTAGTAGTTAATAGTCTCTTACTGGCCTGTTTAGACAAGCTCTCCATAAAACAAACAAAACAAGCCCTTGCAAATTATTATTTTAAAGACGCATAGGCCTATTTTACAGACACTTCATTTTTAATGGTATTTTATTATTTTGATTGCATTTAATAGATTATACTTTCAAGAAAGCGTTTTCATTGTGTTTGTAAAAGCTGTTTTTATGCATGTTTTGGTCTGAGTTTTTGTTGCATCTACACAGTTTTGACCAGCAGGCGTCACCAGCGTGTGGTGTTTCGAGCGCTTCGAATCAGTGAATCATTTTGCGAAGCAATTGGTTCAATTGATTCGAAGCTTCAAAATGGTTCAATTCTCCCATCACTACTACATATACATTTTAAAGGGGTCATATGATGCGATTTCAATTTTTCCTTTCTCTTTGGAGTGTTACAAGCTCTTGGTGCATAAAGAAGATCTGTAAAGTTGCAAAGACTAAAGTCTCAAATCCAAAACAATAATGTACAGTATGTGGAAAATAATGTGTTTTTTTAGCCTTAAACCGCATAAACACATTGCATTACACCAAATACACAAAATAATGTTCTTTTTAGCAGCATCATATGACCCCGTTAAAAAACCTAATAAAAAGTGACAAAAATACCAAAAACTACTAAAGGTTTAACTAAAATAAAATTTCACAATATTAATAAATACTATAATAGTATCCCAATGACACTAAAATGACACCGATGTCTCAACACTGAAGGTGGTTTCCATCTGGTGAGGAACACATTATGATGATCAATGACTCTTTCATTGGGTTTAACAGTCTGGGCAGAAGATCACTGGATCATCATCTTTCCACCGAATCAATCTGATAGAAGCCACATGTCCTGACGGTTCAGAGGACGATCACTGTCTAACACACGAGCCTGGTGTGGAGGTGCGTCTCACCTGGATCCCGCGCCGCACTCCAGCTTGACGGTGATGCGTCCGGTGGGCGGAGCCAGCCAGTCCTGCTGATGCACTCTGGGACTGAGTTTGCTCGGGCCGTATTCGCTGGCAGCGGAGGCCGTCATGTCCGTCTTAGAATGAGGCGCACCGTACGAACACTCGAATAAAGACTGATCCTCACTCACCACCGACAGCGCCTCCTACAGGACACACACAGAGAGAGTTTGTGTTTCTGAGCTGCGACTGTAAAGAGCTTGTAGAATTACTGTTAAAAAGAACAAAAATGTAGGGAGGGAGTTCATTATATCTGTCAGTTGTTGATTGGATGATGAGATGTGGGCATGGTCAAAAATAAAGGCGGATCTGAATGTGAGCTTGTAGTTGATTATAGGAAAGGGGCGGGGTTTAAGCAAACCACTAAATGATTGGACAAGACCAGCAGACGTCACCAGAGAGGAGACTGAAGCTTCACTGCATTGACGTTTCCATTAAACATTAAAAAAGAAAGATGTGCATGAATGGATCCATCACATTAGGATCTATAACATGCATTTAGAAAACATTTTCTGATTTCATTTCATTTGTTATATTGCTGCCGTAGAACTGCGTCATTTTTTAAAACTACATGCAAACGATGCATCGCCACGACCAAATAAAATAATAATAGCTAGCTAGCTAGCTAGTTGAAAAGACTGCATCACAACTAGCTTCAGCGACACCTGCACAGTTTTAATTCTCTTTCTTTCATTTTAATTCTCTTTTATCGCAAGACTATTGAAAGTAGCCATTCTTTCCATTGAGAATACACGAAGCCTTAAATTAAACACCAAGTATACTGTGGATGAATTTGCCCAAAAAGGCCCAGAGAATTAATTTGAATTACAGTTTTTCTTCTTTCTTTCCGTTAATTTTTTTTTTTTTTGCGTTTTGGGCCGCTGTGCCAAGAGTGTGTTTACATTAAGCAATTTAGTAAATATGACGGCGTTTTAGTGCCATAATATTTTCAGAGTAAAGTCAAAATTACTAGATTACAGTTGTACTGTGTGAATAAAGTTAGTTGATGCGAAAAAAATAGTCTGTAGCAGTTAACTGACTGATTTATGAAAATAATAAAACAATGTTGGCAAAGTTGTTGGCGTTTCTGGGCTAAATGTTATGTTACGACTGTTATTACTATTCACAAGCTGTTTTACTGACACTGATTGATCGATTACACGAGACGTTCGTTTTATTAAGTTGTTCTGATTTTTTTCAACATGTCTTCTGATTTTCATTCATGTTTATTTCGTGCTAGAAAAGACGAAAAGATGATTGATTCACATGCCGCATGAACTAAGGCGAGTACAGTGATCTCACGCCACATTAAAGAGCGGAAAAACACATTTATTGTTTGTATTTCGTGATAAAATTGACCGAATTTAAAGGCTACGATTTGTGTTATATTAAAAGTAACAAAACAGTCTTATTGCGATTACTGGGTGGCTGGCACGCTACAAATAATGAATAATGACTTGAAAACGTTAAATATAATTTATACCGTCAATAAAACTGCTTGTGAATAGTCACATAATGTTATTCACCTCAGAAAGGGGGGGGGGGGGGG